TCATTTTAACTGTAAATCGGTGATAAAGGTACAGACGATCAAGCAACCTACATTGAATGTAAGAAGGACCTTGAAACGCGAATTTCAAACTTACCGAGAATTAACTGAAAAATCCCTTGGGGATTAGATCAAGTACTTTCAATGTCACACTTCTGCGTTTCAGAATTCTGAAGATTTTGGCAATGCTGATGTCAGCATCTGTTTCCAACTAAAATCCGAGCTTTCGGATTTTCTCGAATTATTTGTTGCTTGCTATATTCAAGCATGCGTATTTATCTACATCTGTCTGAAATACAAGTAGAGTCTGAAATAAAAGAACTAGTTCGTTCAACCCTAAATCTGACCAAAAGATGCCAAGTTTGTCCCTTTCCACCTGCTCCTTCAACCGTCACATGATTCCTTCAATGGACACCAGCTCTCTTTCCTGAAGATCACCGAGTTTCCTCTTCCGATCCCCTTTCTCGATTTCCCAAGTCTTTTAAAATCTTCTTTTAAAATACTTCGCACAGTCCCAAGCAGGACGCAAAGGTCTTCACTGATCTCTGATTCTTCAGGAATTCAAATCGCTCGCTCGCGATTCTGAATCGATCCTCGAAACTGATGACCTTTGGCAGTACTGGTAAGCGCGACCTGAAAAAACGACGGAAGCGACATCTGAATCTGAGAATGGAACTCCTGGTTTCTCTGTCAGTCCGCTATACCACCCTCACCATGCACCGTCATTGAAGTCAATTTAAAAATATTGTATATGAAAAAGGTATGCTATCTACAAGAGTAATTATAACCAATCATCAATATTTGCATCAATATCATCAATAGTTGCATCAATATTTGTTTAAATTAATTGCATATGAATTAAATTGTGGTGCCAGTAATGATTTTTTAAATTTCTTTATGAAAGCTGTGTTTTTACTTTCATTAGCTAAACTTCTTCTTTGAAAAAGTAGGTTTCTACGTCGTAATGCGAACATTCGGAAGACTGTGCGTCAGCACGAAGCTTCGCCGAAAGTCTCCAGTTATACCTGTACTATCTTTCCGAACTTATTAATATTGTGCAAATCATAACTTACAGATGTGGTAAACTTGACGTAAACTTCGTTCAGAAAAATTTCACGCAACAGCATATTAATTTAAAACGAATGTAAAATTCGTACTCTCAGAGCAGCACGGTGAACCCGAAAGTCCTTCTTTGCCCCAGCCATCCTCAAACATCCTTACACAGAGAGAAATAACACGATATTGTGTGTCATTTGACGCATGTATATGTGTCATGAGAGGATTCTTCATACACAGAAGAAATCAGTGTGTCAAATGACGCACAAAAGTGGGTCCAGGATCGTCTGAGTGACACGGAATAATGTGTCATGAGGCTGGGCACATTTAAATGTGTCTACTGATGACGTAAGATGTGCCAAATGACATGTTTCAGTAGGTCAAAACTCATGACACATCATTCCGTGTCACCCAGACGATCCTGGACCCACTTCTGTGCGTCATTTGACACACTGATTTCTTTCTGTGTAGCCATCCTCTCGCGTCCTCCTCGTCCCGCCATCCTCCATCGTATCCCCCCATTAAGTCGCCTGTATCGTCTATGATGAAGGACTCAAAGGAAGCTCGCTGCTGATAGGCCTCTGCTCGGCGTCTTTTCATTTGCATTTATCACATTTTCAGCAATTGTACCCGTTCCTGAGGAAGCTCATATTCATTACAATCTAGATATGCTGGTAGGTTACTTTGATGTTTGGGGATATGCACGTCAGCGGAGACGGGGGAAAAAATTGATTCGGTGACAGGAATTCCTCGTGTGAAATCCCGGACTGGCTGGGATATATTACATAATGGGAAGAGGAACTAATGGAATGGGGAGCGGCTGGGGCCTATTCCCATAGAATAACAATGAGAAAAAGGCGGATATTAATGCATTCTTCGCCTGATATCGAGAAACATCGGAGCGGAGACCAGCTGAAAGACTGAGAGCAGACATCCGGCCTTTTCTTCCCTTCCATTCTGCCTTTCCCCCTCTCTCACTTATCGTCTCTTTTCCACCATAAAAGAGACGCAGGGAAACGCGTCGATTCCGATCACCGAATACTGATGGTGCTGCAGCGATTTGAAAAGGAACGCATCAACTCGAGAGAACAGTTAAATTGAGGAAAATCATCCACAGAAGATGGACTCCCTTCGACTCAGTTCACAAGGAAAAACTGGGGAAGCGAGAGAAGAAAAGGGGACAGAATCCGATTTCCTTCCCCCAGTCAATATTATTCCAAATCCTGCATGAGATTTGCATCGGACAGCAGTTCCCGAGCAAAGGAAATCCCAAATCTTTGTCTTCCTTGATTTATCCCGCTCTTCTTTCTCTTCTCTCTTGATTTCAATCACGGCACCATCTGGCACACGGAGAAGAATCTCGAGGGAGATGTCGAAACGAAGATAAACACACATAGGGTGTTTTCGGAATTAGTTGGAAAATTCCTCAGAGAAAAGGGCTGACATTCGATAGGGTGGATGGCCTTTCCTTGCGAGATGGAGGGAGTTTTCGCTCGAATGCGAGAAGCCATTATGTAGAGCCGATGCACGTATTATTATGGTTCCATTATCCATGCAAGTTCCCTTCAATGTCCTGTTTTCTGCATGGTTGGCCTCACTCCCCACGCAATAATGGACCAAGCCTTCCAACGCCTCCTCCCTTTTTTATTTAAAAAAAAGAAAAAGGCGCTCTATCGCGAAAACGAAAAAGAATTGGTTTTCCGGGAAGAAAAATGACTTTGACCTCTGAACAGCAAGGGGAAGTCAGCTGCATCTTTTCACCCTTTCACTTTCTCTTTCTTCTTTTTTTCGCTTCTATTCTTTGGGAACAAAGGAAGGATCTGAAGAAGTCGTCAATCTCAAGACTTTTTTTTTCCCTTCAAGAGCCCGAGCAATATGGAGATCCATAAACCCAAATCCACCAATTGCAGGGCCTTACAATGGCCGAGGAAACTCCCAACATTGTGTCATTATTTCCGGGGGGATCGTCTCATCAAAGGCCCCCATTATGCCATATCTGGCCCTGTCATTACGGCGTCCGCAAATAATGAGAAACTTGGAGATGCAGCAGGCTCAAAAGGTCTACAGTGGGAGTCTCCAGGGACCGCGAAAGAGCAGCATATATCGATATGCATGCATTGAGGTCAAAGGCAGGAGGGAAGGATGGAAGACTTGCTTATGAGGAGCAAGTCTTCCTCCGAATGCATGTCATCTCTGGTGGGAAGAAATCTATCTCGGCCTCAGTGGGTCCCTGGGGAATGAAAGAAGGGTGGCGACTGCATCCAAACGTATCTGATTGCTTCCCATCACATCAGAGTCCTCCCTATATATGTCCTATATCCTCCATCTCATTTCACCGAAAATGCATATATGCATGCGTTTGGAAATCACCTCCAGACGAAGAACATTTTGGTGAAATGGACACTTTCTCCCTCTTTTCTCTCTCTCCTAGATAGACGAAAGTCCGGCCGATAAGCCTTCGCATGGCAATCGAGAGAGACTTTTACGGATCACGATTTTCGTGACTCTCTCCTCGGTGCCACCATAAAGCGCTGTCGAAGGAAGAAGAGATACTCCCGAAAGAAAGACTTCACGGGATAAACTGTCAGTCCCGAGAGGGAAGACATCTGCTCTCGGGAAAATGGAGTCGTCTTGCCCTTTGAAATGCTCATCAATCCATGACATGTTAAACAAGGTAGAACCAAATTCAAGTAGAGTTGAGCTGTCATTCCGTTGTAACTATTGAGCACACATATGTGACGATATTCCTCCAGGCTATTATCCAGGAAGATCTCTCATCTTAAGATTTGCAATAGAATTAGCTCGAAAGCAATATCTCAGCGAGCACAGTAAAGTAAGGGTATGGGATTCCTGTGTAGGCTGTCAAAAGCAAATCCCCCAAGCTATTCGGGCTGATTTCTCTCCTTTGTCATCTAATCTCTTTCGTGGCGTGGGCGAGGCCGTATGCACGTTACGGCTCGAGGCCCATGGGGATGTATGTTTCACGGGGGAAGACATAATCGAATCATGGGAGGGACTTGGGGATAATTATTGCTCTATTCAGAGGCACAACTGCGGGTCGTTACAAATCCTTTCACCGGCGCGACAAAGACGCTAAGAGCCCTCTCTCCCCCTCTCTTTTCTCCTCAAACTCTCCCTTTTCGGGAAGACTCGGACAGACAGACACACACACACACACACACACTCCAGTCTGTCCGAAATAGCTGTAACCCAGGGAGAACGCAGCTTAAGCTCTTCCTTTGGATGGAACGAATGCTTTTGGATTCCAGCGCTAACCAGTCGCATAGAGGCACCGAGGATCTCCAGAGAGCATTTTCGGGAGCCATCAAAGGGGTGAAAATCCGTTTCATGCCCTCTCTTAGCTCTCTCCCCCTCGTTTCTCGCATGCAGTAACTCGACGTCTCATGAAGATAGATGAGCCTCCGATCTTCGATCGGAGCTCCTTCCATCATCATTGACTTCCTGGTCAAGAACATATTCCTACTGCATATCGTATAGGAAAAACGAAACTTTCACGTTCGTTTTCACCTGGGAAATCAGCATAAAGATAGGCAATTTCTATTCATCACGAACAGTCCCGCAAGAAAAGGAAACTGTGATGTTGACTCGCCTTCAGTATAGTGAAGGAGTATGAGAAAACTAAAAATGAAAACAGTTCGGAATTCAAACTGACTGACGCCGTGGAAATTCTCCTTTCCCTGTCTCCAATCTGCTTCAGCGATATTTTTTCCTCTACAAAGACACTAAAAAGGATAAATCCTTAAGACACAGGAGAACCCAAATTGGAGGCGAAAAGAGGGGGTATATAGTATCAATTGCCAAGGGTCTAGGGGCCCAAAATGGGAATGGACACAGAGAGAACGCGAGGGGAAACTGCTTCGGCGCCTCATTTCGGGGAGAGGGGGGGGGGGGGGGAAGGAGGGGAAAAAGGGGCAGAAGTGAGGGATCTCCACAGTGCCCCCCTCCATCCCGCCTCCACTGTCTCAATGTCTCCTTTTTCCTCGCGTTTCCATGATACTACTACTCCTACGTAGACGAGGACAGAGGTCTGGTCATGTCCTTGAATCTGCCCTGCTCAAGTCTCCAGCTCTTCGTCTTTCTCCTCCCCTGTGAGTCTTGATAGTCAGAGATCCTCCTTCCTCGTATCAAATACATGTAACTCGTCTTAAAGATTTACGACGGGGTACTAAAATGAACATGGACCTCAGTGAAATGGAATGGAATCAAAAGAGAGCCGCCAGGCAGGGGGCGTCGTACGGGAAGAAAAGGTTTAGCCCCAATTTTTTTTTATACCTAACAATATATTCAACTTTTACTCAGGAATCTGTCTTGTACCTTCATATCCGACTCATCTCTTGCCAGAAAAAGAAAGAATAGTTCGAGACCGCAATACAAAGGGGACACAGCGAGGGCTTTATACGCCTGGATGGCAGGCCGCATGAGAGTCGGAATCTCCAGCGGGCCTACTCATCTCCCAGGCAGAAGGGTTTCCCAGGGAAAAGTCCTTCGCATTAGCGACAGCAGGTGAATTTATTTGGCAAAAGAGGGCTTTTCGGGAGAACGAACATGGGACGAAATCCTACAGGAAAATATTTACAGCTTAAATGACAACGCCAAGAAGCATGAAGAGTCCATATGTCGTCCATATCCGACGTGCCGAAATATCTTTTCTGCTTGCTACTTAGCACAGACTCGCCCTGAGTTATACGACAACGTCATTGGCTTCGTTTTATAGTTCAGCGAGCAGACCGGTGCTCTGTTGCGTAAAACTCGATTCAACGTGACGCTTCCTTGCGAAGAACCGATGCGGTTCTGCACGACCCAGTTTCATCTCTCGCACGTGACTATGAATCCCGAGGCACAAGAAAATTTTTTTTTTTTTACTTCGCTGTGTAGCAGCGACGAAGACTTCGACCTGCCTATCTTCTGCGTCTCAACTACCAGCCTGCTCCATATTATCAAGCTCGTCTGCGATAAAGTAAGGGTGCATGCTACGAACTTACTAAATCAAAGAGGCACTATCTACGTCCGTAAAACCATATCGCCTATGAATTATGAATCAGGAAAAAAAAAGATCGAAATTCCGGTTGGGCTGAGTACGACGGGAAGATAAGGAGGAACAACGGAGAAGACTAGGGATGAGAATGATAATGATGCTCGTGATGGAGGATGGTAATTCGCGTGTGCGATATGGGTCCTTTCCTTCCCTCCTTTCAATTATGACTCGAAAAAAGGAGAGAGAGGGAAAAAAAGAAGGAAGGAAGAGGTAATCAGGGTGTCATCGCTCTTTCCCAGCACGTCCTCGGCAACAAATGAGGCCCGTCAAATCTCACTTTCGTGCTCCATTCCTTCCCCGACTTGAAGTATACAGGAAGGTATGGCGGATCAGGGCTCATTAATTGCTCTTTCTTCCCACTCGTCGTGGCTCGCTTCTCCCCCCTGCTCATTCAATTACGGATTCATCGGGTGGGGATCTGGGTTGTAAATGAGATCTCCTGAGATTGAGTCCACGTGCGTTCTTCCAATGCTCTCTTGACATATTACGCGGTCATGAGGGGATCAAAGCCTGCCTAATCCGCTGAAGGACTTCTATTCCTGATAATCAGCGTTATTAGCAGACTGCAGGCAAACAGAGATATTTCATTACAGAGGCGGAAAAACCATTGCGCCCCTTCGGATTTTCACAATTGTATTGTTTCATTTGGTAACTAAGTCATTTAGAATCAGCTTAATTTAAAAAAGGATATTTAGCTCTTTAGATTTAAGAAAAATTGCATTTACGTTCATTCCAAAATCAGGTGCTAAAATTGTTAGTTAATTATATTGTTTATTGCTAATAAACCAACATTCGCGAGATTGACATCGGAGATAGTTCTAACCTAAGATGACCATCTTATTAAGCGAAAGACTTGCGGCGGATCGTTGAGCACGATTTCGAAATATTGGGCAGAAATGAATGCCAGGTCGCGGACAGGACAAATTCAAGAAAATGTACGGAGACGACCTTACTTGAGAAACGCTTGAAGGAGAAACCAAGAACAGATTTCCGCCTTATTTCTGGTGTGTCCAAACTACGTTCTGGTAGAACTTTATTTTTTCGCATATAAGTTCGGACACGCACGTCATTGAAATTATTGGAAGCTATAAGGCTGCGATGGTCATAATCTTTATCACACTCATACCTTCTCATATTACCCAACCGAACGCAAAAAAAAGAAGTATCTGGGTTGTACCACTTAGGGGTGACGAGCGAATTACAATCCTATCCCGGCTTAACTGTCTGAACATTGGTGGTTTTACCCCAATATTTTGATATTCCTCCTGCGGCCTTATGACGTGACTTCATGCAATGACGTGATGAGCGCAGTTTTTCAAAGCGACAAGCCACAATTACAATCGGGTAATAACTGGCTTATACGAGGAAGCTTTAAGTTCGTGGAAAGGTCCTATAACTCCTTTATTCCTTGGCCTACAGACGCCAATTTTGGTGAGGATCCTATATTGGGTCTTGGGTGTGCAGGGGACGATTTCCTTGATTATTGCCTTCTTCCCCAATTTTAATGGACTCTTTGATTTCCCTGACGAAAATGAACAGGGCATCTAATAAAACGAAATTGCAAATTCAGAGTGCCATCGAATTTTATGTGACATCGGGGAAATGGGCCAAAGAAAAATTCGGCATATTGCGTGCTGCAGCCTTAGGAACAAGCACTCCGGCCTGCTCGATGGTATTCTCTACAAGCAAAAACGGTTGAAACAAAAAAAAAAAAAACAAAAAAAAAACAAAAACAAAAACAAAAAACAAAAAAACAAAACAAAAAGGGAAGGTCATCAGGCACGGCGCAAGGCCGGTTCAGCCATTGATTGGTCATCAAGGTCAAGGTGAGGAAAAGAGTGCAAGAAACCCTTCAGGGGATCAGAGAGAGACAATTCGTGAAATCTCTAATGATGCATAAAGGCATTTCCTTGCCAATTCTACTTTATCAACTAATGTTAATGATTCACTCGATTCACCCCTGTTGAAGATTTTATTGTAAACCATTTGCGCCACTGGAATGCCTAAGTGGTTCCTAAGGAATGGTATATTTTCCCCTCTTTCACGCAAGATGGCAATAAAAAAATATTTTTCAATTAAAATAATAATAATAAAAATTTGCGGATAAAGGCAATAATAAATAACAATTTCTCCTGCACTCCCAAGGCCCCATTTAGCACCTCCACCAAAATTGGCATCTGTAGGACAAGGAATAAAGGAGTTATAGAACCTTTCCAATAACTTTTTGACGCTACCACGTATAGGTTGAGGAAAAAGTTCGTGCGCCGTTTGCGACGTTGAAGGTGAAGGTACAGTGCCACCGTACCTTCACCTTCAACGTCGCAAACGGCGCACGAACTTTTTCCTCAACCTAGTATTATTGTGACCCTTTATAATAGTATATAATGGTTGAAGTAATAACGGACCATCATTTCACTCAAAAGTTTGAGCAAATCACTACCTGAGCCAAAGAAATGTGAACTTCAAGGTGGTGCAATAATTTTGGCCAATACTTTACATGAACTGGATTGGAATTTCAAATATCGCCGCAGACAATGAATTTCTTTTTTTTATCACCAGGAGGTCTCAAGTGTTGTACGAAACACCGTGAAACACCGTCGAAGCATATCCAGAAACAGCTAAGACTTGTGTCACTTCTGGCAACCGTTGACCGGACAAAACTAAGATTCCAAGGAACAAAGGCATGTTCATGGCTAGTGGCTCTGGTTTTGCAGAGGCTGTCCAGCAAGATTCTTAAGCAAGATTCGTGTAACCTGAAGGTCAAACTTTCCATCGTTTCAGGACAAAGGGCCCATCACCCTGGGCCACGTGCCTATTCAGTGAGGGCGTGATGGCCCTTCAAGGTTTCGCGGATCCGACAATAGCATCTGCAGTAACGCTGTCGTGATTCAGCAGAATCTTACTTTCCATGTTAATTTATTGCTTGCCATTTACGAAAGTTTGTGCTGGTTATTGGGAGAAACTTTTCGCTGTTAGAGAAACTTAGCAATATTGTTCAATTGCCTGTTTCACCATATTCCGGCATTTCATTGAATTGCCTACTTCGTGAAATGGCGGGCTTCACAATCTACCTACTTCATAATTATGCGCCCACGTCTCTCATAAGGGTAGGGACTTACGTTAAGCGTTCATCGTGGTCGAGGCATCTTCAATATATTCTTCGGAGTGTCTTTGAGAGAACCAAAACCGCGTGGGTAATCACATCAATCACGGTCTGCCCTGATCTGCTCATCGCCGCGTGGCGGAATTATCGCAGGGTCTCAGGGCTTCTCGGAACAATGCTCTCCAGATTCCATTTCTGGAAAGAAACAAAGCAGAAACAAGGCATGTCTAACGCCATTTATTTTTTATTATCTCAATAATTGATGTTTTTATTTTGTTCCCATTCTCCATCTCATGCCAGCAATGTTTTTGGGGTGCAATTTTCCTCGTGTTTCTTTTAAATCAGTTATCCCAGTCGATTTTTCCCTGGGCACTAAGCCCAATGGGGCCCTCTTCGCCAGAGACCGTGGGATTAGATTAGTCGAAGGGACCTTTCGTGACACCTCGCTTGTCCCGGTTAAAGCCGAAGGGAAGACCGAAAAAATGGGAGGAAAGAGTAGTAAAGAGCATTCTTTCGAAAGGGAATCGTATAGAACAAAAGGAGGGAGATTATCTTGATCGCCCCAGAGACCTTCGCAGGGATTGACAGAGGAGAGGGAGGAAACGAGGACTCCCTATTAGCAGGGCTCTTCTTCTTACTTCTTTTCCTGTCTCTGCAGACACACCCATACACACACACACGTACGTCGTGGAAGGCTTTATTCGAGGATCTCTTCAGGAATGGCCCTCCCTCCCTCCCCCTCCCTGTCCTCTCATCTAATGACGATTCATTGTCTGATCACCAGAGCTAGGATCCTGACCCATTGCTGAGGAAGGAAGACGTAATACGACTCCTCTAGATCCACAGCCTTTGGACAGAGAATTACTAGCATGAAAATATTAGAGAACAGTATCTATACGACTATATTACAGTGTTTGTATGTGTGTGTGTGTGTGTGTGTCCTTTATGCACGGCCACGCCTCGGATCCCATTCCGGCCAAACTTCGCAAGGCTTTCTCATTTGGTCCGGGGATGGTCATAGGTTAGGTGGCGTTTCAAAATTCGGACCCCCGGAGTGCAGATTTGACCGATTCACTACTACAGACTCCCCAAGGAGTCAAAATTTTAGGGGCTCATTAAAAAAATATAAGTTGTAACATGCAGCTTGCTACTGGATTTTTTTTTGCAATTGGTTGAGTAGTACCTCGTAAAAGCTAAATATTTTAAACAATTTCTAACCGGGGTTGCCAAAGAGGCAATAAAACAATATTAAACCTCAAATATGGGACATACACAATATTCACCAGTGCAACGCCGGGTACCTCAGCTACTATTAGATAAAGGACTTGGGCATGAACTGATATCAGCGTCGACTCGCATGAAAACAACCGTTAATACATGAAAGTGAGAGCCTTCAAATGAAAACAAAACTTGATAATGAAAATAAGATGTATAGCAAAGCGGGTAAATGTATACCCAGGTTCAAAACCCTTTAACACTTTCCAAAATTATAAAAGGAAAGGCATATTTGAATGCACTACCTGTACTTTTATTCTTTAATCTTACAACAGAACCAGGGTTCAGCAAGGGGGATCCTTTTTTCCCTTTCCTTTTGCCAGTTACTTTGATCTTTTTCAGATAGTGAGTCACATATTCAAGAAGTCCAATCTTCTCTATCTGAACTGGCAGTGCGTCTGTCAGTGAGCTGCATAGATTTAGGATCTATGGGACTTAATTTCCATATATCTCTGGTGCTCAAAATGCAAATCAAGGGCGCGGATAAGTTGTTTTTTCTCCTCCTCTTGCTTTTGCCTTGGAGTTACAGTAAAACCTCGCAATACGCTCGGGATGCGTTCCTGAAAAACCGAGCGTATAGCGAGCGGATTGGGAGGTAGAGTCATAATGTATAACGAGCGTAAAACCGAAATAGCGTGCGGCGAGGTATTACTGTATTTGCATCAAAGTCGGAGGTTTCAAGTTTCAATGTCAACATCTGCATATCAGATAAGAGGGGAAGTGGTTAGCTCCATCACCCGTGAATAGATGAGAAGGGGGTATAAAGTTACAAAATCCTGAACTCGTACAAAGCCTTGTGAGTTCAGGATTTTGGGAATCATGAAGGGGTACAGCTGGAAAGACCGAAATTTTAAAAATATTTAGGTAAAAAAATTGGATTTTCTTATGTTCCTTCCCTCCCTCCTCCCCCCTTATTTTTTTTTTAGCGAGTTTTATTTTCAATAGCTCAAGGAAAACCAAGGAAAACCAATCATTTGCACAATCACAAAAAGAATCCTGCGGTAATGGTAGCGATGATATTTGTACCATCTAGTAGCTATGACAAAGATGTACGCAGTACCATTAACATTTACGTTATTATTCTCAACAGGAAATAACTCAGAGGGGAAATACATTCACCCGAACACTCAGGTGAAGTGTATACTCAAGACCGTATTGAGTACCGTATCTATTCATCTGTCATTTAAAAAAATGTTCAAACGATAGATGTGATAGAAATGAGACGCTTCCAAAGATGAAATTTTGCATGCTGCGTATAAAATTACCCCACCTTGATACAACAATAATCGATATTATATATGAGACGTATTCACAATTAACCCTCATTAATCCGGACTCTGTATTGGTGATTTTGTTTGGATTAACGGCTCGTTCGGATTATCGAGAACCTGCCCGCGTTACCATTAATTTTTCTTTTTTTTCCTGGAGAAGTAAACTGCACCTCCAAAGTGCAAAAAACGCCTTTATATATTTTTTTGCATGAGCATCGGAGAACTTGGACTATGTTCTTTCCATCAGCCACATGAAGCTTACCACGACACTTTCTTTCAATATCCGATGCTGTCGATGTTGGAAAAAGTTCAAATGCTTGCCTTTCACCTAAGGCCTCGTCTACACCAGAAAGTTTTCTTCTCACAGACGATGAAAGAATGTTGAAAATAGAAGAATTTTTTTCGATAAACATTTATAAGAAATCTCCCAGAGCATATAAAACTTTTTTTCTTTGCAAGTCAAGGAAAAATTTATGTTGTGGACGAGGCCAACGTTTTTCTCAAACGTTGGCCTCGTCCACACCAAAACTTCAAAACTTTCAATTCGCATACCTCATTACTCGATTCCAGGAAAGGTTGGAAATTGGATGTTTTCCCTCATTTTTTTTTCACCCTAAGGGTGAGGAAAAGTGAAGACAAGAGAAAGAGAAATGGAAATATTTTCTTTCCTGTTGTATCATATGCATCTTGCTAGCTAGTCCGGATTAACGGGGGAGAATGGCCCGGGGGATAAAAACATTTATCCGGATAAAAGGAGATTTGTATTATTGGTTCTAAGGGATTTCTGCCGGGAAGATTCCTGATATCCGAAAGATCCGGATTACCGGCGTTCGGATTAACAAGAGTTGACTGCATGTCCCCCCTTTCCCCCATCGTTGCACTTTCTGAAACATGAACTTTGTCTCTCGTTGAAGGCTTGGGTGGATACGTGTCGGAGGTGAGGGTAAGCCCGGAAGTGGTGAGATCGGGTGACACAATCACCTTGGAGTGCATGTATCAAGAGAATCAAAAAGTGGATTCCGTGAAATGGTTCCGAAAAATCGACGAATTCTTCACTTACACACCGGGGAAATTGGATCCCATCCGACTCTTCGATCTTCCTGGCGTCCACGTCGACGTAAGATGAAAAATTTTAATTCGCCATCATTAATTTATAGAACCCCATTCCGACGAACCAGTTCGTTGTTCTGGGCACGACAATACAATAATTCGTTCACCCATTGAATATTGAATTTAAAGTGGGTTGATCATACCGCCACTTTTTCACGAGCACATACAAAGTATCTGATTGCATTTCCCAGAATACCAGGTGCTGCTGTAGGGCCTCACTCGGATCCAGATAACTATCTCTCAGATGCTTCGCTGCCGAATCAATAGAAAGGAAATGGGGGACAAAGGAAAAGAATCAGGCAGTAACCTAGAGGAATGGGGAGGCCCAGAATGGCCAACGTGAACATGAACATATGACCAACCTTACACTCGTTCTTGCTACATGAGATCGTACCGTCAGGGAAAACATTAAGGATGTCCAGAAGTGGACTACGAGAATGATCAAAGAGGTAAGGGGACTTTCCTGTAAGAGGAGGGACAGTACTCGCTCGACAGAAGGTTAACGAGGGGGGCCCTCCTCATCCAGGCAGCGGATTAGCGTCGGAGGAAGGGAGGGCACGTGCCAAATGTACTTGCCCTCATTTTTCAGAAAAAGAAGCTGAAGTAAGATGGAAAAGACGCATGAAATGCATGAGAACAGGGTCCCAGAGCTCTAGTGTCCTCCCCCCTCCCGCCCCACTTTTTCCATCCAAGCTACGGTTATGCATCCAGGCATTTAAAATCATTAATGGAATTGATATCGTAGATGCGTAGAAGTTCCAGTTCGATGACAGCAACATAACGATAGGGAACCAATTCAAGAGTAAACCCCAGGTGAGGTTCAGATTGCGACATGACTTCTTCACTTGTAGAATATTGAACGCGTCAAATGCGTGATAAAAGTGATAGAGTTGCGGTTGCCCTTCGTGGGAGTCAGCTTTAAAGAGGAGGCTTAATGCCTTTATGAACAAAGCAAAAAACAGAGCAAAGTAGATGCAAGTAGTAGGTGAATATTTCCCCCCCCCCCAAAAAAAAAAAAAAAATTAATAACTATGGGAGGGGTAGGCCTATCTTATGATACACGAACGCTGCTCAACATTAGAAGTCCTAATGGGCAGAAATGCCTCTTGACGTCCTAAAACCTAAAACCTTAAAACCTAGATGCGTCGGATAGCCCTGTCAAGTAAGACTGGAAGGTCTTCCTTGGCTGTTTGTTTCCCTTAAAAAAGTTTCAAGGACGCTTTTTCACCCTCCTCGGATAGGAAAAGAAACGTGATTTCTAACACGTCCACCATCTCCCCTGCTTTGCGGTCTCAATGTGAGCATGCTTGGCGTAGGCCCAGTCCGATAAGGATTAACGTTACACTTAATCTTAGATCTGATGAGAAACTCCAGAGCTGTTCAGGCAAGGCAATATGTGCGAAGGCGCTAGACCTACATGGAGTGGAAAGAAAAATGTAGCCATGGCAGGATCTAAAGCAACGTTCAATAAAATGCTCCCTTGAGAAAGGAGAGTGGTTTGTCCTGCTTACGTCATCCTATGGGAGACGGCGTTGGCGATGCAACTGCCAATCCGCGAGACAGAATGGAGGCTATTCCTCGAAGAAGAATGCAATCGAAAAAGAGGAGTGCTCTCTTTGGTAATCCCCCCATCCCGGGTATATTCAACGGGTGAACGGCAGACTCTATTTCAGGTATTCAAATATGTTGAAAAGATGCTCCTTTCGCTTGTAGGCGACGCGGTCGGACGCTCGAGTTGTGACGCTGCGGAATGTGTCGCTGGAGACGTCCGGGATGTATCGCTGCGAAGTCACGGATGCCGGTTCCTATGCCGTTGCCTTTCAAACAACCAACATCAGCGTCTACGGTCAGTCCCTCTCTCTCCCTTTTTCTTTGAGAGAAAAACCAGACTCCCGTGACAATAGCCAGGATCAATGCGAAGCCCTCGTCAACGCTAGCGGGAATACGATCCGTTCAGTATCACGAATAATGCTTCACCATTATTCACGAATGCGGTTCATTTGATTTTGAAACATTTCGTCCGATTAAAAATGATGTAATTTGAAATGAGCAAAATTCTCAGGGCGATAGAATGACTTGACACTCATCGCTACACTCATTGACGCGAGCCATCCCGACGCACGTCGTCCCTAGCCGTCCTATTCTCCTCTTCCGCTTTCGTGACATCCACCATAATTTTACCCGCATTACGACGGAGTACTCAAATGAGGCTCCCCCCTGGACCGGGCTAAGCCCTGCTTCTTTCTTTCCCTCCTTTCAAAGAGGAAGAGAAGTGGGAGAATGATAAAAGGGTCTGGAGGGATCCATACTGCGGGGAGGAATTACGCATCCCTAATCTCGTCAGCAGAGTGCGGAGGACCAATTAGTCTTTGTGGATGGGTTTAATGATTACAATGTTGCTTTAATGAAACATGAATCCGAATCTTTTTCCCTCTCCTTTTCCGCTATAAGAAAGAAAAGATCGATTCGCCCAGAGGAAGAAGGGAGACAGAGCACCCAGAGGTGAAAGATGAAAGATAAGAGAAGCATAATTTATAAATGTGGGCTCATGCATGTCAAGGAGAGATCATCTCCGGCGCTATCGCCCTCTTAGTTTTTTTTCCCACTTTTTTCTCCATTTCATCCCATTCCTTTCCTTTCGCGGCCCGACGTCCGCTCCCGGGAACAGAAACAAGCGCTGCATACCAATTGAAACAAACCTCTCCCCCAAGCTTCCCCCTTGGCTAATCCGTGACACTTCCACGGAAACGGCTGCTGCGTCTCAAGCCTTCTAGTTCACGATCTGTTCGCACCCTTTATCGCAGCGGTTCTCGAACTTTTCATGTATGTTATGCACCCCCTATCGATTTCGACTTTTGCGTCGGGTCCCCCCCGCCCGCTTCATTCTGAGAATAGCATCTGAACATAAGCAAGCCAAACCTGTTTTAATAAAGGATAGACAAAGGAAACATTCGTTATATAATTAATTTTAAAAAAGGAATAAATAGGAAATAGGGAATAGGTGGAAATAGCTCATTTTCAACATCCATAAGGTACCGACCTATATTTAATCTTTATTGCAGCTAATGAAGAAGGAGAAATTTCATACTCCCGACAGAGCTGTTGATAATCTTCTTCGATGCTAAGTCAGAAAGTTGGGCAAGGACTTTACGGTAATTTGAACGACTGTCCATGAGTGTGAGACGCTCATTCTGCTTCAGGCTCTCCTCCATAGAAAACGAAGCACCAACGCTATCCCACGTAACACAAGATATTCCAGCAACGTTTGGGAAACGTTGATGAACAATGTTGCTTCTATGTGCAAATGTCCAAAACGTCAATGTTGCTCGAATGCTGCGAAAGAACATTGCATTGATGTTGCAAATCGTTACTTATTCATTACATATACGTTGCAGAAACGTTTCAGCACTTATGTTGCTGCAATTTTGATGGAAAACGGTCCTTCACTAGCACCTAATCTGGACTTATATTCGCATTACTATCCGGAAAGGCATAGGCTTCACTGGCCCTGAACTGGACTGATATTCTGCAAATATTGCATTTTTTCTTTCATCATTTCGTACCATATACTTTATCCCTTTACACAGAAGTTCCCATCAGCAGGACGAAGCCTGTACTGGTCTAGCTCCTGCCCATGCATAATGCAGTATATGTATCACGTATAGGCAGGAGACACGGTACATGTTGGGGGATAATCTCCCCCTGGATGTGCTAAGTATGGTACATTTCAGGAAGAGGTCCACCCGCACTGTCCTATTGAGTGTCGCGTATTCAGTCCATCTATCCCTCAGGATGAGGAAATGAAGGATCAAGGAAAGAACAAAGACTCTCTACTATAGTTTTCAATGTCCTGTAGGACATGATCGATGGGCTCTCGGAAAGGGTTCTTCTTGGGAATATGAGTTTGCTTTTGGGCTAGATCCCATTAATCTGTCTCGAATATGAAGATAACAAGTGATGAAGTGTCCGTGTTCATTCCTATAATGAGGCAATGCGAGGCATATGGCAAGGTACTAAACATGCGGGACGATTCCAAGGAAAGGGAGAAGGACACTTTCGTGTACCGTTTCTAAAAGCGAGACCTGCGTCTCCATCTCGTGGCAAGGAGGAAAACTTTACGATTCCCTAAAAAGTTTAAGTTCATGTTGTAACAGAATGTTGTCGCTATGTTGTCAATGTTCAGAATGTCAACGTTCTCTCAATGTTGATAGCAAATGTTGCAATAACATTCGTAGAAGTGTCGCAGCAACATTACATGTGAAAACGTTGAAGCAATGTTTTATCAATGCTGTGCATCAACTTGCAACATAGAACAACATAAGCAACATTTCGGAAACGTTTCATCAACATACTGTGTTACTTGGGTACGCCCAGAATTCAAGTTTCGAAACCGAAGCATAATTCTGAGCCGCGGTATATCTGCGCGAGGGGATTATATATAGTCTTTTATTCCAGGAAGAAGGGCTGAAATAAAAACATCGGTTTTGTATTCCAGGAAAAAGCGGCCAGCGAACCCTCTCTTCCCTTCCAGTAAACCATGTCCAGCTACTTCTGTTTAAATCTCCTCGAAACTCCTTGACTCGGCTGAGAAGGAATGTGAAAAACTTTCAGCAAAAATAATTAATAAGAATATAAGTAATTAATTAATAATTAATAATAACTCTACAAAGCACTCCAAAATCAATTCAAGAATGGAAAAGTCCTGACCCTTTCGCGCCCCCCCCCCTAATTTTTGAGAACTGCTGCTCTATAGATTTGACCAAATTTTATATTATATTCGCTAGAGATAATGCCAGATCCTGCGATAGACAAAGTTTCACTCCAAAAAATCTATAAGTAAATGCCATAAAGACGAAGGAGAAACTCGGAAACGTGTACACAGTTTCAATTACTTCTGTTCTTTATTTTGTTTATTTATTTTTCTTTCTCTGTATTTTCTTTATATTCCATTTTAAGATTTCATTCTTGCTCTTTTTCGCTTACTGCTCCTTTTGCATGCATTCATCACTCCAACTGGATGTAATTCGACGGAACTCAGTTGCCGAAAATCGTCAAAACAATGAACTGGCTCCATTTTCGGAATTGACTGGAGACATGGGATGCGACCGTATTTCTCTCGGATCCGCCCAGTCCCCTTTAAATGGATGACAGTACTTCTCGTTGAAGATATCTTTGGAGATTAAGAGCAGAAGAATGAGAAGACCATAATGTGAAACATCTCTTGGCTCATTGCCCGGTATCAGGGCTTTGAAAGCGATCAATTTCTTCCTGCTCCGCCCCCGTTTTCCAACGAAGAGCCGACTCGGCGACGACTTTCTCTCTTCCGACCTAGTCACGGACTATCGGAATCGAATCCAATCAAGATTGATACTTCGCAAAATATCAACGGCAGTGCGGCAAGCTGTCAGGAAAATCCCTGCCATATTACGAGCTCTGCCTTTCTGCGTCATCTGTGTCACTAGCGCTAGGTCTGGGGTGTACACATCCGGCGACGAAAATCGATCAGAAAATCCGAAAATGAAGGCTCCGAGACGAAAACTGTCTACTAATGGACGGGACGGGAGGATAAAGATTCTCTTCCCCCCTTAATCGTATATTGATGGAACACCCCACTCCACCCTCCTTCATCCCGTCTCTCCTATAATGTCCTATAATGAAACCGAGATCGAGACAGACGAGGGAGAGGCGAAAGAAACTCTCGTACCACGCCAATTGCGATGGACCTGCAACTTGACCTTTTGCTAAATCGATTGATGAGGTCACTCGGAATCTGAGCATTCGAACTTGACGATTTCGTCTGGCACGTCGTCTGCTTTGAATTTTCGCTTCCTTCCTTCCATGATCGTCTTCGGGGAGGGGTACTTTTGGAGTCTGTTCCACAGAAGATTTACAAGGTACAAGTACTTGCAAGCAGGGCCGGCCCTAGCTATTTCTGCGCCCTGTGCAAAGAGACTCCTAACCCCCCCCCCTTGAAGGGAGGAGGGTGAATCCCTGGACGCCGAAACGGAAGGCATTTCCACGTTGACGTGAAGTAAAACTGAGGGTGGCATCCATTATTGCTTCATACATTCAGTCACGTTTTGGTGCGCCTGGTGAATTTGCGAACTGTGCGGGGGCACATGTGATACATGCCTAAGGCCTTGCTTGCAAGGGCTTAGGCGTGTCTTCTTGATTAACTCTTCAGCAGGTCAGAATAGTCAGCGAGTGCCGCTGACCCTTCCCGCGACCAAGACACAACCCTTGTAAATACTTGTAACTTGTAGCTTGTAAATCTTCTGTGGAATAGACAGGCCCCTGGAGGGAGAGGTTCAAACCGACCCCCCCTCGGTTGTGCCTCTGAAGGTGCACAAGCATCTCTGCATTTCGGCCAGGCCACACAACAGTGGGATGGCGTAAATCGTCCTTCCTTTGGATTAGAGAAATAAAACGTAAATCTTGAGATGGGCCTTCTTTTTACGACGTAAGGAGGAAGTTGAAGAGAAATAACTATGACTGGTTGAGGTCTGCGGTTCCATTCTTGCTGCATTGAGTCTATCTACCTTCCGAACGTTTGGTAAATAGTAAAGTCCTGTGGGTAGATTACTGTAGCTATTATCAATACAGTATATCTGATTGGAAAGAAAGTTCTCGGAATTTCATGAACAATTATTACAACCCAGTTTATTTAAAAACAAAATCATCTCAATCATGAATGTAATCACCATTGGCCTCTATCACTTCACGCCAACGTTTATGCAAACTATGGATGCCATTCCAATAGAACTCTGGCGGCTGCGCTACGAAAAAGTTGGCCAAATCGGTTTTCAGGTCGTCTTGGTTGGCGTACTGCTTTCCACCCATGTGACGGTCCAGGGCAACGAAAAGG